AGGTGGGTGTGATGAGTGTGATTAGTGTGATGAGTGTGATGAGTATGATGGTTGCAGTGGGTGTGGTGGATAGATGAGACAATTGGGTTTTGTCTGTCTGTTCGGTGTGTCCGATGAGTCCGATGTGGACGCAGGTGGGTGTGATGAGTGTGATTAGTGTGATGAGTGTGAAGAGTGTGTTGAGTGTGATGGTTGCAGTGGGTGTGATGGAGAGATGAGACAATTGGGTTATAACCGGCCTACCTTGTCATGCGGTCGTGGGTCGAGGAAGTCTCGTGGAAGGCCTCAGCGCTTGTGCGTGTCTTCTGAGCAGGTCGGAGAAATGAAGTGGCGCAACATCATTTTATGCAAAAGTCCGATCTGGACGCAAGTGGCAGTGAACACGTCTGCCAGTCGAGAGGCCGTCGAATGCGATCGAGGCGCTTTCTCTCCTGCCAGTCGCGATTGGGGTCGATCGACAGACACTGGTTAGACGCTACAACAGTCGCAATATTGGGCTCTACCAAAATCACACACACACACACAAACACACACACAAGCAATAGACGAATGCACAGTCTGGTGCATAGATGAGATGAGGACAGATAAGTGAATATGTGAGCGGAAATAGGCACTGTTTTGCATATCCACAAGTATTGGTGCAAATCGACAGAGAGATACAGAAAGAGAGAGAGATAGAGAGAGCGAGATGGGGCTTAGTGAAATGTTTGTGTAGCCATGCAACAGGTAAACAGAGACTTGCGTATAAAAAGCTAAGCTGGCACCATCCAAGTTGATGGCTATAATATAAAAGTAATTAAAAATGAGATGGTGATTGAAAGTCCGATTTAGGCAGACCGGAGAGTCTTAGCACTGCAACCATTTTGGTACAAAGATGACTAATAATCTACCTTGAAAGTGTCGGTGTGCACATGGCTCGAAGAGATAAGCATACTTGCATTGTGCACACCGACAAACGGCACATTAACACATACAGTAGATGGTATGCAGACAGGGAGATGGAACTGACAACAGTGATTGGTCAGATGGAAAGGTGGATAGATAGACGATGAAAGAGCAAGTTGATAGGTGGATAGATGGTGGTTGGAATAGGGGATTGTGGGTTGTGCAGATGGATGGATAGATGGGCTGGAGGGCAGAGAGCATGGCGACAAAGAGGAGAGGAAAAGTGGATTTCATAGTTCGAGGTTGAAGGGAGTGTGAGTTTAGTGAAGTGTAGGAGGCGAATGAAAACTTGGTATTTGGAGGGTCGGATGGGTGGATTGGAGGGAGAAGCTAAAATGAGGGTATGGCCAGTCAGTGGATCGTGAACCGCTTCAGGAGTGTGGGCGTGACGTGGTAGGCCTGACCCCACACACCTCACTTTCGGGCTAGGTGTGGAAGAGACGAGCCGGAGCCTCGACATGTTATGACGCTATTGAAGCTCGCGACTGTAATCAATAAACATGTAACTACATAAAAAACGAAAAATCGACTTACTTGCTTGGACTTGTCGCGAGCGGAGTATGCAGCCGGAAATTGCTGTATGGGTTTTTTGGCTGGACTGCCGGTAGACGCGATAGGCAGGCATGAGTCAGTTGGAGAGGGGGACAATTGGAGAAATTTAGAGAATTACAAGAAACGGTACTTCTGGACTCAGCAAATCGGGCGAGGAGTAGATTTGGCAGATGGGAATTTTGAGAATTCGCACATTTGAGAAATCAGGAATGTGGAAGTAAGAAATTTGCAAGTCCAGAAATGCCGTCAACTGTGAATTCAGAAAAGAAATTCAAGGATTATGGAATCCCTTATTTAGATAATTCAAATATTAAAGGATACAGTACTTCTGTGCTGAGAAAATCGGGGAAGGAGTACATGTAAAATTCGGAAATTAAAGAATCCCGCTAATTGTGAATTCAAGAATACGGCAACTCGGAATAAAGAAATTGAAGAAGTCAGGAATACGGCAATTTGGAATGAAGAAATTGAAGAATTCGGGAATCCCTTACTTTGACAATTCAAGAATGTGGAAGTAAGAAATTTGCAACTCCAGGAATACCGTCAACTCTAAATTCAGGAAAGAAATTCAAGGATTCAGGAACCCCTTCATTCGATAATTCAAGAATTAAAGGATACAGTACTTCTGTGTTCAGGAAATTAAACAAGGCGTAAATTTGAGAGTTGTGAATTCTAGA